ACCTATTCCCGTATCCAACCTGCAGGTATTCGCTTCAATGGGCAGACTTTCACCCTAGGTACGTCGCCTTAGCGGCGCTGAGCGCATGGTCATAGGTGATTAATTGACTGGCCTTGTCTTTGAGAAACTTCGCATCGACTTACTTTCTCCGGCCATTTAGAAGCCTGCCTTTATAATGTTTCCAGGCCGCGTGTTCTTACATTGCAGACTATACGAGGCCGAATCGGTTTGCAATAGGTACGCATTGTCGTTTCGCAGCGGCAGTCAGATAGTAATGTTGTAGTTGTCTGCTTAACTTACTTTTACATCTATTGATACTGAATCTCGTGCATTCGTTGTATTTTTATTGGTAAATATGAGTTTCGATTGCCGAGACTCAATAATCCTCTTGGCTAGTAAGTGGGATAATCAGCTAGAGCTGCACCCCCTTCCCCCCACATGCCTGTCGCCCCATAATCAAGAGTTGAAGTCTCACCTTCTGATGGATAGATGCAACGCATGTAAGTGGGCTAAAACGACTTTCAAAGGGAAATCTGGTCTACCAACCAGGCAATTTTTGTCATATGAAATAGATATTTCAGGCCTCGGAAGCCAGCTCCTTTTTTCATGTAATATTTATTATCGTGGGGCATAATTCCAAGATGCTTCAATCACGGTAAGATGTGGCGTCTGAATGCGAGTCATTCCGACCAACTGTAAAAATCATGTGTACTAAAAAATAACTACTCTCACGAACTTGATGTTCGAACCATCCCCCTTGTTTGAAAACCTGGTAACTGTCGGTGTGTGGCGCGTGTAAACGGAATGTTTAGATTTCTCGGCCACTGTATTCGAGCTAACCGCTGGTTGTCCTGGCAGTAGCAGAGCAGTAAAATTGCACTCACGGGGTGGTGCTAAATAACGTGCCCAAGTTGCTGTTCTGTGCACGACACGCAATGCACATAGTTGCGTGCGACTGTCGAGCTGTCGACTGCCGTTTTTCATGAAACTTCAACCAGCATATTGAAGCGGGAGGGATTAATTAGGTAGGCTTGCGATACTAATTGTACATTTAAATAGAATTGTGATGTGCAATCGTAAAAGAACCACTGTATGTGGTGTTGAATGAGTTTGAGATCATCCTTGAAAGAGTGGTGCATAGCTCAGGATCTTTAGTGTTTTCAATCGATTGCCCACAAATGTCGATTCGAGTTCATATTTTTTTTATTAAAATCTTCGAAATAAGATATTTCTGAGATGTATTTACGGAAAACTCTTGAGTTTAGCTAATTCCCTTCTCATTGAAAAACACTCGCAGTTGCGCAAACTTAGCCTACGTTAGCTATCATCTTAGAAAATTCTCGGAACACGAGAGATAACGCAGATTTCTGTTCACATTTGTAAAGTTGTTTACCAGCATATTTTGCTGACGAGAAGAACATTTTCCGGAGTATCTTAAGCGAATAATTAAACCGCAAAATTTTAGTTGCCGACTATTTATCGCTCCAATTTCGGTTATCGCGTTTCATTAAATTGGTCACATACTGTACTATACATCCTTTTTCCAGGGACTTTCGGTGCCTTACTAGATTTGCACACACACGCACACGCCAAAATATGTTTTACACTTATTTGTGTCTTGTATTTATTTTCTAGTCGAAGCAATGATGTGCTAACTTTTTTTAATACTTTTTTTCTATTCCTAAGAACTAGTAAATCATGCGTGTCGTTACACTTGCGTTTCAAAAATCATACATTCGTTTATGCTGTTAGAAATGTCGCAACGAATATAAATCACGTCCTATGCTTCAAAAAGAACATTAATAAGAGGAGCGATAAAATGTCGCTCAAATAAACATTTCACAATGTTGAAAATTCTCGCTATGACATGCTGTTTTTTTAACCGCCAGTTACCCCTTCTTCCGTTAGAATATATGAAAAAGGCGTAATTTAGGACAACACCGTCTGCGAAGTAGGATTTGGAAATGTTTCTCCAAAGACCTGTTTGAATGGCCAAAAGCATCATGATTTACCGACAACAATGCATGTTGCACTAGTAATTTTTAGGGAGTGTGATGTTTGTGGGTCGCTAGAATGATGCATATTCAAGGGCCAACATTATTTAATGAATAAAATATGTTGAGTTTATACTGTATGGTAATCACTATTAGCGATCCTTTCCAATAGAGGTGACATTTTAAAAATTGTTTTAGAGTTACGAAAATTCCCATCAGAGAATTCAGAAGCCTAGTTTGACGAGCGCACGTACGCTTTCGATAAATTCTCGTCGGGGTACAAGTTAAAACGTGTTCGTCTTTTGGTACATGCGAGGCATGGGAATAG